GGCAGGTTCAGGGCAATAGTTATGCAGCCGAACGTTCTAGTGCTGGCTGCCTGCCGGAGCAGCACTCGCTGTCTCTCAGCCATCTTGCCAAGAACAAGATGACTCCTGGGCCCTCACTCCCTTCCGAAGGTGACTCCCGAACAGGGGCGGGGCAGGGGGCAGAGAGCCAGGCCGGCGGGGCCAACAGGAAGCCTGGGACTTTTCTGAGACGCTTCCCCCAGGCTGCGGCTCTTCGAGGATGGACCCTCTTCCTACGCCAGGCCTTCTCCATCGGCGTCTCCCAGTCAAGACTCGCCTCCCTCCTTCTGATGCAGGAGGGGCAGGCCCTCCCCTCCCCCCTCCAAGGCTGCTCAGCCGCTTCTCTCCTCCCAACCTGCCCTCCCTCCTCAACGCTGCCTACCCAGTTCTGCTCATTTGCACGGCCTGGATAGGCATGGACTGGGGACGGCCCTCACCCAAGGCACAGATGGACTCTGGGATGCGATGGGAAGGACCGGGTTTGTGGTTGCCAATCAGCGTTCCTTCCTCCCCTTCGCTCTGGCCCCTTCCTGCGAGGCACCGCAGGCCAGCTCACATTCCTGTCCATAAAGCAGAACTCGAGGAAGGCCTCAGAGGACGGTGAGGGACCTGGGGGGGGGGGTCCCCCCTTCAACCATCATATCTATTTTTGGTTGGTTTCCCTCTTTTATTCCTGGATTAAAATGCAGGTGCCTTTATAGGATTTGTAGCTTTTACTGCTTTCAGTCTCAGTAAAGATCACTAAACAGGGACCCTGGCCCGGGATAGGTCCTATCAAGTGGTAAGAGAGACGGGAAGGAGGGCCTCAGGGACAAATGTGCTGAGACTTCTGTGTCCCAAGCAGACCCTGACCTTCACCCCCTACATGCTTCCCAGGGGAGGCACCTGGGCTTCTCAGGGTTCAGAAGTGCAGGCCTGAGCTGGGTAGGTAACCCTTTGCTGCCTGTGGGCCAGAGCCTGTCTTCCGGTCTGGAAGCTGAGTGCCAGGCAGGACCCCCCAGAAGCATTGGCCCCTGCAAGCAAGGAGGCCGGGGTCAGTGGGCAGAGCTGAAGCTGGTATCTGGGACCCCAAATTCATCACTGCTCTGGGTGGGCCCCACCCCGGAAGGGCCCCCAGTCTTAGAGCTGGGAGTGAATGAGGGACTCCTCTCAAGGGGCTCAGTGGGAGCCCCGCATTATATTGGGCGCACGGCAGAAAACCAGGGCTCTCCCAAACCCTGGCTTTGCCCAGGCTGCCCCTTGAAGGCCCAAGGCTCAGGAGACCCAATTTTTAGGCCCAGCCCCACCTCTAGCAAGTAAGACCCTGGGTAAGTCACTTCCTCCTTCTGGGTCTCCTTTCCTTTGTCGTTAAGTTAGGGGATTGGATTCCATCCAAGAGTGGAATCCTTTTCCAAATAAAATCTTAAGCCAACTCTCATTTCATCAAACATACAAAAGTGTGGGCTTTGAGCGTACATGTCCTCAGTGACCCCTGCACACAGTTTGGCGTCTGGCCTCTTGGCAGGTTATGGCTTCACCGGGGTCAGCCTCCACCCGCCTCCCTCCTCACCGCTCATCCGTTCAGAGGTTAGAGCCTCCCCCGTCTCCACTGTCCAGCCACCCTCGCCACCAGCTCGCCTCCTGCCTACTGAAGGAAGAGCTCCCTTCCCAGCAGAGTTCTCTGCTTCTGCTGTCTCTGCTACAGTCTGTCTGCGATATAGCCCCAACCCAAGTCAGATCACCTCTGTGTGCACCTCCTCGGTGGCCCCCAGCATTCCAAGGCCTTTACCCCACCAGACAGCCTTCTGCCCATCGTCTCCCACATCAGCTGCAAGTGGGAAGGGGCTTGGTTTAATGCTGAGCACGCGCCCCCACCTAATGCAGACACTATCTGTTGAACCGAAGGAGAAAAAGTGTCTGCACCCAGGATACGGGACGGCCTGTCTGCCTTTTCTCTCTCCCCAGCCGACATCTGCAACAAGAAGGAGACAGACCTTGCTTGCCAAGGCCCTCACACTCCTATTCCAGGGGGGCCTCCTAGCTCCGGGGCGGCAGTGGGGGGGGCGGTGCGAGAGGGGGAAGCATTCTCCCAGCTGTCTGAACATCATTGCCTGCCAGCGAGAAGGAAGGGACTTTTGGAAGCCCACGTGGGAAGAAGAGTCCCCGCTGAGGACCCAGAGCCCAGCCCTGAGTGGTCAGCAGGGTCTGGGGGTGGCACGGCGGTGTAGAGTCACAGATGATTGCTCCTGTAACACGGGTAGATACGCAGCCCAGGGAACAGCAGAGGCATGGGGTGTACCCAAGAACTGCCTCGTAGTACCTGAGAGTCAAGGACCTGGCTCCCAAGGGCAGAACACAGTCTGACATGGTAAGAAGTTGGAGGCAGCCTGCAACTCAAGTTCAGGAATTCTTTTCTTAGGCCTGCCACAGTGGTGGCAAGTTCTCCATCCCTGGAGGTATGCAAGTACCTGCCAGGTATGGGTTTCCGTGAGACACTATTTAAGAACCCTTCCAACACAAAAGGTCCTCTTAAATCAAGTGATGTTTTTCGCAGCAAACCACTCTTCCTTAGAATGTGCCAGGCACAGTTCTGAGCAGGCCTGAGCTGGTGCGTTAACCCACGGCTGCCTGTGGGCAGATGCTTAAATATTAACTCATCCAAACCTCATAACAATCCTATGAAGTAGGGGTTATTATTACCCCCAATTTACCGATGAGGCAAGGCTAGGTCTCTTGTCCAAGGTGAAATAGCTGGTACCTAGAGATAATAACTACTATTATCAACAAATGGTAATAATAGTAATAATAATAACGATTAAGAGTTTACCCTATAGGCCAGTGTGCAAAACTCTTGACGCATTATCTCATTTAATCCTCAAAACAACCATGCGAGGATAGTTACTATGACTTATCTTTATTTTATAGATAAGTAAACTGAGGCACAAAGAGGTTAAGTAACTGGTCTAGTAATGAACAAAGGAAAGCAAAAGGGACTGGCTAAGGGGAGGGCATTCCTGGGGAGGGGTCGGGAAAGGGAAGCTGGGGACAGGTCAGGGCCCTGGCCCCTCATCACCCTCTCTGCCCTGGGAAACTTCTAGCACCACCCTGCAATATTGGGCTGGTAGATACTTGTCCCTCGGGGGTCCCTTCTCCCCCATAATTTCCAATTCTTCCCACCGGAGGGAATTTGTCTTTCCGGAGGTCACTTCCAAGAGAAAGCATACAGGCAGAATTTCCCGGGAAGGGCAGCGATGGGGCAAGAGGGAGGAGGAAGGCATTCAGATCCAGAAGAGTTTAAGGGCCCCTCCATGTCACAGTGACACCCGCCTCCAACAAACGCCAGTCACCTCCAGCTGTCCCCCAGTCCATAACTGCACAGGATCAGCCCATCCCTCCTTTTACAGAGCAGAGAACTGAGGCCCTGGGAGCTGAGGTCATGGTGCTAGGCCAGGCAGCAGCTGGGTGTCCATCACAGAAGTAGGCCCGGGAGTTTTAAACCAAAAACCTGGGAATGGCAGCCCCAGGGGTGGGAGGTGGGGAGCATCCGTCAACCTTGACATCCTGAAAGGTTCTAAGAGGTTTTCCCAAGAATCCAGCCCCGGGAACTGAAGCCGATTCAACCCCCTGAAGCTTCCAGAGAGACGCCCAGCCCAGCTGCGCCACTGGGAGGGAACCTTCTCCCGGAGCGCAGCCCTGAGCAATGTCCAGAAGCAACTTCGGGTTCTTAGGTGGGGGTGGGGGACACAAGGCGAGGCACTAGAGACCTCTCCTGAAAGCCAGTTCCAAACAAGTTCGGCTTCACGCACGCCACGCAGTGCCTTCTCCCCAGGATCCCGCAGACCCCAGCGCAACCCTTGCGCCCTGGACCCTCCCCAAGGCTTGACAAAGGCAGGTCCGAAGGTCGCCGTCCCCGGCCCCGCCTGAGGGACGGGAGGGAAATCTCTGTGGGTCCGCGACCTAGGCGGACTGACTGGTCGGGCCCCTGGCGCGCGGAGTTACGGGGACCCCCGACCCCCACCTCACGCCCGCCTGGGCGTCGGCGTCGCAAGACGCGCGCGGGGGCGCAGGAGGAGCGGCGGGTGCCGGAGACTGGCGGGACCCGGACCCCTCGTGATTGCCTCTAAAGTTCAGGCGGGACAGGAGCGTGGGGAGGGGGCCGCGTCCGCCCCAGTTCTGACAGGTAGAGACGCCTTTCTGCCCCCGGCCGCTTAGCCGCCGAACGTGCCGGCTGGTTTTCCAGCGAGCGGTGACGTCTGGGCTTCCAACTTTAGCCGAGTCCCGGAGTCCCGCAGCCACCAGCGGGGCCCCCCCTTCCGCGCAGAAGCGGAGTCCGGCCTTGGCCGTGGCCGCGGGGCTCTCGGTCCCACCCGACGCCCCGAGGCCGGACGGCCGGGGGCTCCCCCGCGACAGCTCCGAGCACTCCCGGCGGGGCGGGGAGGCCAGAGGAGCGTCCGCCCCGACTTACCCCGCGGGGTCCCCGCGCTCGGGCGCCCCGGCCCGTCGGATCATGCCGCCGGCAGTACCGGGACCGCGGACGGAGGGGCTCAGGCGCCGGGCCGCGCGGACCGCCGTGCCCCGGGCGCCCGCATGGCCTTGGCGCTGGCCCTCGGGAAGGGCCCGGGCGGGCGCCGCCGCCAGCCCCGCGCCGAGTGGGAAGCCGCCGCCGCCGCCGCCGCCGCCGCCGCCGCCGCCGCGCTCTGGGGCGCTCGCTCGCTTCCACTTCCTGTATCCGAGCGAGCGGGGCTTTCAGGAAGAGGCTGGCCTTGGTGGTCAAGGGGTTTTTGTCGAAAGCCTCTCGGCGGCGGCTGGCGGCCCGGAGCCCCCCTGGGGCCCGCGGAAGCCCGGCGGCCGCGCCCCCACCTCCCCCCGGGGCCGGGCCCGGTGGCGGGCGGCGGGGGCGCCGAGGCTCCGGGGCCGCCGGGCGTCCAGCCGCGGGGAGCTGCCACCGCGGGCAGGGGCTGCGGCCCGGGAGGCTCCCCGAGCGCCGCGAGGGAAAAACTTACTGCAAAGTCTCCCACATGGCGCAGAGTCGCGTGGGAAGGAAGGAAGGCGCTCCCGGCGGCGCCTGCGGACCGGCAGGTGTGGAAGCCAAGGGTTCGGCGTCTCGCCAGGCAGGGAGCCGCAGGCTTGCCTCCCGCCTGAAGGAGGCTGAGACTCGCCCGGGGGCAGCCCCGGACCAGACCCGGGTGGCCTCCTCCGCATCCCTGACGGGTGGCCACTTGGATGCCTCCGCTAACGATGAGCTCACCACTTCACCAGGTAGTCTGTTCACTAACGGGCGTGGCATTCATTTCTCGTGGGTACCACACCTAGAGAGGATCAGAGTGGGAAAGCCAGTGAGCTCACACAAATAGCACAGCCACAGCCACTCCTGTGGGGCCAGGAGGCCTCTCTTCTAAGTGCCTGCAGCACTCAACAGTGCCTTTCACCGCGACTGGGCACGACTGGACCATACAAGGCCACCTCAGTCTAACGCAGGGTTTCTCAGCCTGGCAACACTGACATTTGGGACCAGGTAATTCTTTGTCGTGGGGGCTGCCCTGCCTATTGCACTAGACACCTGGAGATCACACCCATCCACTTGTAACAACCAAAAACGGCCCCAGCCTTTGCCAGAGAGATGTCCCCAGTTGAGACCCACTGGCTAATGCCTTCATTTTACAGATAAGGAAACTGAGACCTAGGGATAGGGGGAGACTCACCTGCGGCCACACAGCAAGTTGGGCGCAGACAGGACTCAGACCCCAGGCTCTGGTACAAGCATCATGAGGTGTCTTTGCCCTCCATGCCTCTGCCCTGCCACTCCCCCCACACCCTCCTCCCCACCTTTCCTGACATCCCCACCAAATCGGCCTGGCAGAAACTAGAGAGGAAAGAATCTCTGTCCCTCGACAGAAGCGCAGCCTCCGGGCGAGAACCGTAACCTGGTGCGGCCACTTGGGAAAACAGTCTGGCAGTTCCTCAAAAGGTGAGGCATCGACGCACCACGTGACACAGCAGTTCCACCCCCCGTGTATGTATCCAGAGAAGCGAACACCTATGTTCACGCAGAAGCTCGTCCATGAATGTTCATAGCCGTCTTGTGCGTATTCGTGAAAAAGTGGAAACGGTCCAAACGCCCATCCACTGGTGAGCGGATAAACAAAACGTGGTGCATCCGTGCAGTGGCATAATGTGAGGCCCTACAAAGGAATGAAGGACCGATACAGGCTTCCGTATGAATGGACTTGGCAAAGAGCTCAATGGAAGAAGGCAGTTAGAGAGGATCGCATACTGTAGGATTCCATTTACCTAAAATGTCCCGAATAGGCAAATCCGTAGAGAAAGAGAGTAAATTGGTGGTTTCCAGAGGCTCGGGGAAGGGGACACGGGGAGGGACTGATAGTGGCTACAGGGGTTTTTTTTGGGGGGGGGGAGGGGGTCGGTGAAGAAAATGGTCTGACATTGACTGTGGTGATGGTTACACAACTCTGTGGTCAAAACTAAAAACCATTAAGCTGAACACTTTAAGTGGGTGAATTGTATGGCATGTGAATTCTATCTCAATTAAACTGTTATTTTATTTTAAAAATGCAGCGTCCAGGAGGCTTCGCTGACGTATCATGTCCTGCTCCGTCTGCCTCCCTTATTAGGTCTTAACCAACCTCCCACTGACCTTTCCTCTCCTCCGGAGGCTCAACCGTCTGCTCCCTGGACGAGAATCTTTTCTACATCTCCCTGGATAGGACTGTAGCTCCTGTTTGAAAACATGAGCTCTGGGGACAGACTTGTGTTCCAGTCCAACCGCAGGACCCTCCCGCTGGGGTAGCCCCCCGCAGAGCCCTTCGTGGTGCCTCAGCTAGCTCGGCTATAGTGGTGATGAGTGCAAGAGGGCATCTGCCCCAGGGGCCATTATTAGTCTTTTGTTGTTGCTGAAATGAGCCTGTTGGGCTCCCTGGCCCCCAGGGAAGAGGTCTATCCAACTATCAGACCTAGAATAATCTTTTAGGCCCAACCATGCTGATGTGGACCGTGAGTAACCCCACTCTTCCATGCCTCCCCCACCCCCTTCAGCTGCCTAGGCTGCTACTGAGAAGCAGGACAAGCCAAGGAGGAACGCGCCAAGCCTGGGTTCCATGGGACCAGCCCTGAGGTTCTCACCACATCCCCGCAGAAGGCTCCCCAAGGCCTGTTGCCCACCTGCTCTGTGCAGACAGAATTTCTCAGGTAGTTACCACATGAGGTCCCGCCCTGCCCCTGCTGCTTGTAACTGACTGAAAGGGAAGTTGCTAAGGTTTCAGAAACCCAAGCAGCTTCTTTTAGTTGTGGCCTCTGCCAAGCTTGCCCTGAGTGTCCTTTCTGGGTCCCCCTTTGACTTGCTCAAGTCCTCCCACACCCCACTGCTCTCCTTGGACATGGATCTCAGGATGCCTGCTGGGGAGTGAGCATGTGCTGCTGTTTGGGCCTGCAAGTTCCTTCCCCCTACCCCTAGCCTGTGTTTTGTTTTTTGTTGTTGTTGTTGTTGATACTGGTACCAGGGTACCTGGTTTCCCTTTAAGGAGCTACTCCTCCCAGTTGGGTTCAGGTGGAGATGACAACTATCTACCCCCAGGTCACCGGGAACACATATTCTAGTTTAGCCAATCAGAGCCCTACATGTAACTGGGCCCAGCGATTGGTTGATTCGTGGATGAACATGTGACCCAGTTGGGCCAATAAGATCCTTCCCTGGGACTTTTTGTTGGCACGGTTCAGGAAAGCCAGCGTCTTCCCACCTCAAGCTGGCGGAGCTGGGAAATATGAACTCAGAGCAGCACAGTAGCCCCCTGGGCCACCGTGTGGTGAAATGTACTCGGAAAGAAAGCCAGGGTGGAAAAAAGCAATGCAAGGAGAGACAGGGCCCTAGGGACATCCTGTGAGTCTAGATTCTGATGTGTCTAAAGCCAGCTGTACCATTGGACATCTCTGTTAAGTGAATAGAGTCCTTTTTCTTCTTTTTTCCTTTTTTAAAAACTCAACCACAATCAGAGTCAGGCTTCTGTTAGTTGTCACCAGGGAGTCCAGGGTCTCCATGATTGCAGCCCCTTCTTGCTGGATCTGGAGAATGCCCAGTTGTGGCCAGGCTATAGGAGTACACAGTTACACACTTCAACTTATTGCCCCCAAATCTAAGAGGCTGGTTTGCATCCCCAGGGTCCTCATAGGCCAGCTCTCACCTCCACTGGCTCCTCAGCCTCCTCCCTTCATGCAGGTGAGGGCAAATAGACTCAGCCTTGAGGGGGACTATGGGATTTTTCAGGGAAAGGTCACCCCCCAAGAGGTCAACTTTAAGTCTTGCAGGAGTTTCTGGGGACTGTTAGTGAAGGAAAAAAAAGTCTGACCGCACAGTCTTGCTTTTGAAAACTTCCCAAAACCTTGCTCTGAGTTGGATAGGAGATTTTAAGGAAATAGAGCGTGTTCTTTCCGCAGATATTTTCCTTCTATCTAGAGTACTCAATGAGAGCAGGGGCTTGAGTCAGGCTGCCAGGGTTCAAATCCCAGCTTTGTCACTTAGTGGCTGTGTCACCTTTGGCAAACAACTTTGCCTCTCTGTGCTTCAGTTTCCTCATCTGTGAGATGGGATAATAATCGTGTCTACCTCATAGGGTTGCTGCGAGTGTTGCATGAGCTCATGTAGGTAAGAGGCTTAGAACAGAGCCTGGCATATAGTAAGTGCTCAGTATTAGCTATTTGTACAATGATTAAGGCCTTTAATATATCAGTCAGACTCACAGGAAACAAATGGCACATCTGATTGGGATAATTTGAAGAGGGCTTTGGGTTTTTTGTGATTTGTTTTATTTTTATTTTTGAGAGAGAGATAGAGAGCATGAGGGCGGAGGGGCAGAGAGAGAGGGGGACAGAGGATCCAAAGTGGGCTCTGCATTGACAGCAGAGAGCCTGATGTGGGGCTTGAACTCATGAAGCGTGAGATCATGACCTGAGCCCAGGTCAGATACTTAACCAACGAAGCCACCCAGGTGCCCCTGGTGGAGGGTTTAATAGATTTGTAGGTGGGGAAATACAAGGGAGGGTGCAGACAACCTCAGATCTGTTCTTCCTCAGACCAAAGAAGGGGTAAGGGGTGGTAGACCCGGAAGCAGAGAGTCCTGTCCTGTAGAAAGACTGCTAGGGGAGTGGAGCAGGGACCTCCAGTCTAGAAACACAGCCAGCTCACGTGACCCTGGGGGAGGCAGCCGGGAAAAGAAACACTCTGAGTCTCCTCCCTCCCCCCAGTCTCCTGCAGGGAGGGTGCCCCCAGTTGCCCAAGCCTGCTGGAAGCCAGAGGGCTTGGGAGCCCCTCGGTCAGTCCCTGTGGGTGTGGGGTCCCTGTGGATCAGCCTGCTGGAGTGCGAAGGGCTGGGGGACAGAGCAGGGGTGGGAGGGCAAAGCCAGGGAATCAGATAGCCCGGCTCAGATCCTACTCAGCCTCTGGCCGGGAAGCCTGGCAAATCAGCCAAGGCAGCAGACCTGTGAGCGAAGCCAGCCTGTCTGCCAGGGAGATCCCATGCAGTGACCTCTGTCAGTGTCCTGTGGCACAGAAAGGTCACTAGGCAAGCCCTGCCTGAACTCCCGGCTGGTAAATTAGTGACATAGATGAAATGATTGCTATTTGGGATATTTTGTTTTGCAAAAATAGATACAGAAAACAGCTCTTTCTGTGGCTTTTCCCATCATCTGACCCCCAATAAGCCCCCTCGTCTTCATTCCATGTTACTTTAGAGAAATCTTTTAAAAGACAGGGCAGGGGGGGCCCTGGGTGACTCAGTTGGTTAAGCCTCGGACTCTTGATTTCAGCTCAGGTCATGATCTCACGGTTGGTGAGATCGAGACCCGCATCGGGCTCTGTGCTGACTGCGTGGAGCCTGCTTGGGATTCTCTCTCTCCCTCCCCTTCTGCCCTCCCTCCGCCCACACAAAATAAATAAACTTAAAAAAAATGTAAAATCTAAAAGAGGGAGGAAAAACACTTAATTATTGCAAAATCAGTCTGTATCCTCCGGGGTCAGCCAGGAAAACATGTCTGCCCTGGCTGTGTGGGTCGAGGTGGCCTGGGAACCAGGCTCTAAAGAAAGCGACAGCCTCTTCTCAGTTCTTGTAACAGCTGCTCAGCAGGAACGAGGGGCTGGGCATACAAGGCCTCACAATGATAAAAACAAATACTGGAAATCTGGACTTTTATAGGATTGTTTCAGATTTCTAGAATATTGCACTGGCTAAAGGGACACTTTAAAGGGCTGGTTTGGGATCTTACTTCTGTCTGTGCTAAGACTCCATCTACGGGGAAGGTGCATCTGTCACAGGTGTGGGTGTGCTTCGTGAAAGCCAGGGGGCACTCGGGGGCTCCCCAGGTTCGGGAAAGGACGGAGGCCCCGACGAACATGTGCTGCATGTCTCACCTGAGACCATGCAAGCTGTCTTCAGCCTTGGTCTCTGCAGAGATAGGGGGCTCATGAGACACCCCAAAAGGCATTTAAAGCAGCCCTGAGCCTCAATTGTTGAGGCAGTAGAGTCTCAGCTGCTGTCCCCCTCCCACTTGGCCAGCCCCATTCATCACCGAGGCACGAACTAGAGGCTTCGAAGATCTTCTCAGGGAACCCCCGCTCCCACCACCCAGATAACCAGCTGCATTTGTTCATCTGACTCCATGATCTGTCCCTGAGGCATGTCTGTTCCCAGCCGAAGTGCCCTCTCAACGTGCCCTTGTTACATATTTCTAGACACTATAATGTTCTTATGCTTCAGTTGTCCTAAGTGAGAGTACAGGCTCCTTAGGAGCAGGGAATACACCTTCTTTTAAATTCTTTTCTACACCCCACCCCACCAATATCCAGTAGAGGACTCTGCAAACAGTAAACACTACGGAGCTCTTATTGGCTAAATAAAAACAATTTGTTACCGAGGAGAAAGGCTTCT